ATGATATACCTAAATTTATCTAATATATAGATATAATAATATAAAATATAATGATAATAATATATATATATAATAATAATAATATATATAAATACTACATAATATAATATAATATATAATATATATATATATAATATTAATATATAATAATAATAATAATATAAAATATAATAATAATAATATAAATATAATAATATAAAATATATACCAAAATTTATGAAAATTTTGGTATACCAGCTGCGAATCGAATGCCTCGTCGAAGACAATTTAAACATCGATTACACCGATGATCCATAGACACCGAATTAACTGAATTTATTTTTACTCTTCTCTAGCATGCCGCGTGCCGCTGTTATGATTCTTTGACATATCGTTTTCACGCCATTAATCGATGTCCATTAAAGTGAGAGAGAGAGGTCGTGGTAGCCCGGCAACGTGGGCAGAAAAAAAAAGAAAAGTCATCGATGCGGAGTCAAGAAAGGAGGACGTGAAACTGATTAAAAGCGCGCCGACTTGCAATTTTTACTCGATTTCCTATCTAGGACGTGGTCTCTGACATTTAAAAAAAATATAATCGAGATTTATGTAGTAACGCGGAAGCACAGTGACGTATTTATAATCCTCGGTCGTGCGATGGCGTCAGAAATGTTTCACGTTCGGCAGCATCCAAGAGTTCTACGGATAAAAAAAAAAGAATACGATAAAATGTTAAAAAGACGATCGAAAAAAGAAAAATCATAAAATTATCAATAAATTAAATTAACTGAACTCATTACCTTACAGTCTGACATAACCTTGAACATTGTCTTATCAATAAATTTGGCCAGTAAACAATACTACTCGTGTTGGCAAAGTTTCTCCGCGACGAGAGTATACTTTTGATCCTGACGTCACCTTTTCTTGATCCGCGCATCATACTTTCGATCCTGACATCACCAATTGCCGATTAACGATATTAATCGGTCACGTTTTTTGATCTGTTTCAGTCGACACTGAAACCGTTGGGCGCTAAACTGAGGAATGGAGGGAACGTGGCAGTGGGAGCAGCGAAAGCACTGCCATATCATACTGCTCAACCCTTTGTCGTACGTAAAGGAGAACCCGGAACAGGCTGCAGGTCAGTTCTTCTAAATCAGCAGCGTTGTATCACCGAAAAATCCGAACATCTAACTGAAACGTCATCAGTCAGGAAATGTTTTAAAGGGGGATGTTTTAGCAGCATCCGAACCATTGGTGCCGATATGAATATACAAGGTGTCCCAAATTATGCTGAGGTGATTTGAAGCAACTTTTTCCTTCGCGAAAATGCGATCCGCGGCTTCGTTTACGAGTTATTGACGAAAAATGTTGACCAATGAGAGGCGAGCTCGGGCGGCGCGACGCGGCCCAGCCATCGAGCGCGCCAGGCGCAGCGCCGCTGATTGGCTCGGCCGCGTCGCGCCAGGAGAGCTCGCGTCTTATTGGTCGCCGTTTTTCCGTTAATAACTCGTGAACGAAGTCTCGGAGAAAATTTTTGTAAAGGAAAAAGTTGCTTCGAATCACCTCAGAAATCACCTTATTTCCCGGAAATACCATAATTTTGGGACAGCCTGTATGAACCTCGCTTTGATGGAGTTCCCCCGTCTGACCACGAGGACCCTTTTCCTTCGCTCGCGTGACCACTCGATTCGTTTCCTTATCGCTTCAACGTAGAAATCGTTCAATTTATTAGCAGCACTCAGGGAGATAGCGTGAGAACGCTCTATCGGCGGTTTATCCAACTCCTTTCAGAGTTATCGAGGCAATTTTCTAACGAAACGCGTGCAAATTCGTTCGGTTACATGGCCCAGGTCCATTCGTACGCTGCACAGTGATCTCGATCGAGGGTCATTTTTGTAAAAAAATCAATTTCTCAACTTTCATTTATGGAAAAACGGACTTCACTTTCATCAGATAACTCTGTAATTGAGTATAACGTTCCAAAGTTAAAATTTCTAAATTAATGTTTAAAGCATTTAATTACATGGTTTGTTCCATGTCTCGACTTTTAATATTTAATATTTTATTTATTTAATTACGGTTCAGACAGTTTTCAATTGACATCAATAATATAAGGATGATTACAATCTTTAAGAAGGATCTGTTGAAGAAGCGACGGAATATGTTACACATCGGAGTTGTTTCATGTAAAAGTTTATTTATAAAACAAATTTTATATATTTATTAATATTATATTATATTATAGAATATATATTCAAGAATGAACGAAATAAAAGAATCGAACAATGTAATATTGTCTTATTCGAGAAATATAAAGCTAATTATGCCTAAAAATATTAAANAATGTAGTATTGTCTTATTCGAGAAATATAAAGCTAATTATGCCTAAAAATATTAAAATAATAATATAATATAATATAATATAATACAATATAATATAATACAATACAATACAATACAATACAATACAATATAATATAATATATTATATTATTATTTTAATATTTTTAGGCATAATTAGCTTTATATTTCTCGAATAAGACAATACTACATTTTCTGATTCTTTTATTTCGTTCATTTTCGAATAAGAAGATTTAACATATTCATTTATTTTGTTTACTTTCGGATTGCATTCAGATGAACGAAAGCGGCTACAAGGTAGTGCCTGCAAGGAAGAAAACACCCTGAAGAAGAGGAGTTGCGTGCCGGGTCTGTAGCGCTCGGTAAGGAAAGAAAGGGTCCCCCGAGCATCATCAAGAAGGGGAAGGGGTCGACATGGGCCCGGCACACCAAATCGTACTCCACTGAGCGATGCAAGTAGTTAGGGCCGGGGCCCTGCTAGTGAGCATGTGGCTCACTAGAGAATGAAGAAACAAAACGTCCGGACCCTATCGTTGATCGTCTTCACGTTCACCTACCTCCTCGTCGGCGCTGCAATCTTCGACGTCCTCGAGTCCGAGACGGAGAAACGACGCAAGGAAGCATTAGACGGTACGATTTCTCGTTGATAAACCGGGTCAGCTCTTTGAGAACTTATAATCAACGGGATCTGCAATTAAATTTCATTTGTTCAACTTCATTTGTGGGAAAATATAATAATCGTGTCGCGCAATTAGAAGCAATTGCAATCATTATATAGACTAACCTGTTACAAGACACAACAGAAAATGATATATTAAATGAAATGATATTTTAAATTTAATAATAATTCTATGATATTTTAATTTCATAAAATATTAGTTTCAATGAATTCGATTGATGGAGCAATATGATTAACGTATACCTAAATTGTTGTGTTGATAGCCATTGAAAAGATGATTATACGCAAATACAATATAAGCGAGGACGACTTCAAGATCATGGAAACAGTGGTGCTGAAGACGGAACCTCATAAAGCCGGTCAACAGTGGAAGTTCGCCGGAGCGTTTTATTATGCAACCACGGTCCTCACAACTATCGGCAAGTATCCTATAGTCTAGACAGTATTTACTATTATTACTATATTATTTACTATTATTTTATACTATTATTATTATACTATTACTATATCGTTACTATTATTTACTATTATCATATTACCGTGTGGTTATCACATAAACTATAATTTTCGCTATTTTGAATTAATATGCAGCTCGCAACAACGTTATCGCAATTTAAAAAAATCGTATTGTTTAAATTTTTGTTATACCTCATTTTTGTATTTTTTTTTATCATTCCAATAAATCATAAATTTTGCTCATATTTTTGTTCAACAAACGCATTATTCCGTTTGAAAAGATGTCGATATACAGGGTGTCGCAAAATTATTGTATTTCCGGGAACTGAGGTGTTCATGAGATCATTTGAAGTAACTTTCTCCTTTACGAAAATGTTCTCCGAGGCATCGTTAACGAGTTATTAACGAAAAACTCTGACCAATGAGAAGCGAGCTCGACTAGCGCGAGGCGGCCGAGCCAACGAGCGCACGGCGTCCAGTTCCGTTCACTGGCTCGGCCGCCACGCGCCAGCTGATCCCGCCTCTCATTGGTCCAGTGTTTTTCGTTAATAACTCGTTAACGATGCCTCGGAGAACATTATCGTAAAGGAGAAAGTTGCTTCAAATGATCTCATGAACCCCTCAGTTCCCGGAAATACAATAATTTTGCGACACCCTGTAGACGTCGATCGACTGTATATATCCGTTTTTAATAAGGAGCAGACCTGTCCGTCTTAGTAGCAGAGAGTCTTAAAGAGTTGAAGCAGCAAAAGTCTACGGAAAGCGTCGCCAGTTGCTTCTCGGTTATTAAAAATTGTCTCTTGTTCAAAGTTATCGCGATGCTTGAAATTAGTAGTCCCGTTTGAAGAAGTCAGTTGAAGAAGTTGAGAGGAACAGATATCTCGTAGATCCAGTCATTTGGAAGATATGCCGCGCCGATTGATGCCATCGCAGAGTATGGATCCTCTTTAAGAGATATCTTTTGCGAACAGTTTCCCTATTTACTTCGACAGCATTGAAACCGTTTATACTAATGAGTAAAAGTCGAACTTTACGCGTTTACAAAAAAAAAGATGTATCACATGGTCGTACTTCTATAATAATTGAGTGCGGAATAGACACTTAAAATTCAATGTGACGAAAATTAGAATTATTTTTACATCGACATCATTAAAGTAAAGTTCATCTAGCACATATTATTTACATCATACAAGCAAACATAAATGTTTATATCTCGGAAACGGTTGACCTTTCGACCTATTAAAGCTCTTTTACTCGGTACAATGTATCCTATATACCACATACATATATTGAATGTTCTTTTTTAACACCCTGTATAATATAATGTCCCAAAAATGTCTCGCAATCCGAAAGTGGCGGGTTCCTCGGATCATTTGAAGTAACTTTTTCCTTTACAAAAATTTTCTCCGAGGCACCGTCAACGAGTTATTAACGAGAAACAGTGACCAATGAGAGGCGAGCTCAGCTGGCGCGAGGCGACCGAGCCAATGAGCGGAACTGCGTTTCGTGCGCTGGTTGGCTGGGCCGCCTCGCGTCAGCCGTACTCGATTCTTATTTTTTATGGAATAAAAGTCGAGTATTGCACAACAATACTGTATCACTATTTATTTTTAATGGTGTACAGAATTAATAGTTAACAACGTACCCGTGCCACGTTAATCTGATCACGGAATTATCGGTCGACAACTTATATCGGATAATCGATCGAATTTTCAGGTTACGGACATTCAACGCCGAACACTATAAGCGGTAAACTGTTCACGATGTTCTACGCAATCGTCGGAATCCCGCTAGGACTCGTAATGTTCCAGAGCATAGGAGAGCGTTTGAATAAATTCTCGTCCGTCGTAATACGGAACGTAAAGAAGCTTCTTAACTATAAGGATGTCCAGGTAATGCTAGGAATTCTATTCCAACTCCCTCATACTCCGCATGAAATAATGACTACGATATTGACTCGAATCAAATCCGAAAACTATTAGAATAATCCAGGGATGTTTAACGAGGCTAATTTACATTTTGCGATTCGCACGTGAATCCGATCTATGGATCCTCCGAACACTTGCTTCCGTTGTTATACTATAACCTTGAAGTCAGTCAGAAATTAACGTCTCATTGTTTCGACAGAACTGTTAACGGAAATAGCATTTTAAATCGAATTTGTAGCATCGATGTTATTATTATTATTATTATTATTATTATTATTAATATATAATATATTATTAATAATATATTTATTATTAGGCAGACATACTTGTTTTAAAATGTGAAAAATTAACTTCTTCTTCAAGGAGACTAGGCAGTTGAATCTTCGAAAACAGAGTACGCATTTTCCTGAATTAACCTCTTAGGTACCGACGCGCCACTAAAGCGGCTCTCGCGGATGTCATATTATTTATGACGCGCCGCTTCAGTGGCGCACTCTACCGACTCATTCGCTCACCGTCTGAACTAAACGATCGTTTTCATTTGTCTCTTGCTTCACACCTTTTTGCCCTCGCAACGTTTTACAACGGTATTAATAATACAATACAGATGGAATGTACAGTCTAAGAATGTATGTAGCCAGCGCAAAATTCAGCCGTGCCTAAGAGGTTAACTCCAAGGAAATTAAATGAAGTCTACGTTTTTGCATGCGCTATAGACAATCGTTTGAAACGTTAAAACAAGAATAATTACGCGAGTCCTATTCTGTTTTATCGAAAGCGTTAACTGTTAACGTGAGCTTGGGTTTTCTATTGATCTAAAATCGATTTTTTTTTATATTTTCTCGTCTTTAGTATGTCAAAAAGATAAAATAAATAGGACATGTGAATATTTAGAATATTATCTAGAATATTATATAGATTAAATATAGATCAAATTGTTGCTCATGCCATATCTGAGATAACACATTTGTATTTAATAATTGTAATTATAATCTTGTATTAAACGTTTCGAACTCTGAATTTTCCGAATTTCGACGCGAAGCAAGTGACATTCCATTCACGAATATCAGCACTTTGGAAAAATATGGAAAATGTAAATCGAATTTTTAACTGCCTCTCATATTAAAGTCAATAACGTTAAAACGTTCCATGAAATACGATAGTATTTCAGATATTATTGTTTTCTGCACACTTTAATAAAGTCTCGAGAATCGATATCGTATTTGGATAATTAAACTGCAGATGTTTCCGTGCATTCGCAATCCAGAAATGGGAGGTTCCTGGAGTTATTTGAAGCAACTTTTTCCTTTGCGAAAATACGAACCGCGGCTTCGTTTACGAGTTATTAACAGAAAAACGGTGACCAATGAGACGCGAGATCAGTTGGCGCGAGACAGCCGAGCCAATGAGCGGAACCGAGCCGCGCGCCAGCCGAGCTCGCCTCTCATTGGCCACCGTTTTTTTCGCTAATAACTCGTAAACGAAGCCGCGGATCGAATTTTCGCAAAGGAAAAAGTTGCTTCAAATCGCCTCGGGAATCATCCTCTCCCAAATATAAGAAAGAAAATCGATTTTTTCAAAGATCAAACCGCCAATTAAAGTGCTGATAAGGCGCATTTTTAAAAGAGAAAGAAACATCTGTAGTCTAATTAGCATTAGGTGAATATCCGTAAAAACTGTGTAATTTTCAGGCCTCAGAAATAAATCTTATCTGCGTGGTGACGACCTTGTCTTGCTTAACAATTGCGGGAGGTGCCGCGGCGTTCTCTAGGTACGAAGGGTGGTCATACTTCGATTCCATCTATTATTGTTTCATCACTCTTACAACCATCGGGTTCGGCGATATGGTCGCGCTGCAAAAGGATAACGCGCTGGACAACAAACCCGAGTACGTGATGTTCTCCCTGATATTCATTCTGTTCGGCTTGGCCATCGTTGCCGCCTCCCTCAATTTATTGGTCCTGAGATTCGTCACGATGAATACCGAGGACGAAAGGCGGGACGAGGCTGAAGCTCTACAGGTAAGCGATATCATTTTCTCCTCTCCTTTGTGTTCTACAGAGAAATAAAATCTTCGATATATAACTTCCATTCGGACATGAATAAAAATATTTGGAAAAGTATTGCAAATAGTCGATGAAATAATCTTGTTTATACTAATAAAATATAATATTAAAATATGTTATATATTTCATATTTAATATATTTAATATATAATAATAAAATTAAATATATTATATTTAATATATATATATATATAATCACACATACTGAAATAAATAGTATTTCCAAATATTTGTATTTTTAGTTGAAATAATTTTATCCAAGTCCGCTTTCGATCCGCTTTCGGAAATTGATACAGAATCTACGAACACTGTTCTTGCGGCTTCGCGAACCAATTTTGATCGCTTTCCTGTACTCTTTCATCTTCTGGAAAGTATAGCTCTGATTTTCACTGAAACTATGATATACAAATTGAATCACATTATTTCACGAGAATAAGAACGCCGTATTTATTTAAATTTTCCGGAATTATAAATCAGTCACGGTGTGCATCGATGCACGGTTCGGGCATTATCGGCTCGAGCCGAACCGTACCCAGTGACGCGTGCGAACGGGTACCACACCAGCGCAGTACCAGAAATATTAGAGTGGGAAGGGTGGGAAAGGTGGGAGGCTGGATCAGGTCTAACTGAACGTGACGCAGCGGCGTGCCCCCACCACCTGCCGCACGATGCCTCCTGCCGTGTTATTAGCAACTTTAACCTTAACTATCCCGAAAACTATAAGTCGTCTGCACCTAAAACCGGGTATCATTGGATTCAGTTTTGCAAGCTCTATCACTGTGCGAAATCTCATCAAAAATGAGCGTCATCCCTGGCGACCTCCCCTTGTTAATAATCAAATTACAAAGGTCTACTTTAACATCTACCATCTCAAGAAAAAAATTCAAGTCATTTGCACCAATTTCAAAAAAGTTATTGCGTTTTCAAAGGTTAAATTTGAACCCTTTTGCCGGCTATTGTATGTCCTGAAAACTGATCTAACACATCTACGAGGTTAAAAATTCCTTTCTCCCATAAATCTTACTGTTTTTAGAGTCACATTCCAGACCGAATTATAATAATCTCATCGTCTCAATATTCGTTTAATATAATATAATATAATAATAATATAACGTTTATCTCGCGACACGTACTTTTTTTATGCGCAAAGTACAGTCCCGGCTGCGAATCGCTGTAAACAGAAATACCGGTATCAGTGAAAAACAGAGACGATAAAATCCAGAACATAAAGGGTTAATAGACACCCCTATCGTGCCCCCTACGTCCAATCGATAGGAGAAAAAAATGTCCACGCTACCCCCGTCGCAATTATAATACGAAACCGCCGGAACAGTCCGCGATAGAAAATCAAAACGAATAAAATAAATAATATAATAAAATAAATAGCGTGTAAACGAAACAATCGATATATGCATGAACGCGAAGGCGAACACGCGTCCATAGCGTGAAGAACGCTTCGTAGCAATCCGCAAGGCGAAACGAGGAGAAAATCAAGCAAAAATTATTATGACGCAGGCTGCGCAAGGAGCAGTGCGCCTGGAGGGCGACGTAATAATGGCGAACGGCTCGATACTGTCGGGCCAGATAGGCAACCACGGTGACACGATATCGCTGGACGACGACACGTCGGTCTGCAACTGCCGCTGCAGCGGCTTCCAGAAGAAACGACGGAGACCGCGGTTCACGGTCCGTCGCTCGCCCGGTAAGATCTCGCACCTGCTGCCGATGCAGCAGCTGCCGTCGTTGAACATGCGCAGCGAGCAATGCGCGCCGCCGCCCACGCCGTTGCTGCAACTTCCGCCGTTGTATCAACATCGAGCCAGCATCTGACGATCATCGACCGTCAGCATGATGCCGCAAGAACTGCCGCGACGTGTCTCTGTCTGAGACTATCTTTGAAGAAAATCGAAAAAAGCGAGAGAGAACTAGGGAGAGTGAGAGAGAATCTGAGAGAGAGAGAGAGAGAGAGAGAGAGAGAATGAGTGTGCGTCTGTGCGTGAGAGAGAGAGAGAGAGAGAGAGAGAGAGAGAGAGATAGAAAAAGCGAGAGTGGTGGGGGAAGGAAAAGGAAAACAAGGACGGTAACGCGGAGAGGAAAAGAAAGGGAGAGGGAGGGGGAGAGCTTTTTGTCGGCGAACTAAATCCTCGAGACGCTCTCATCGCCTCTCCTCTCGGACGTACGCGCCCGCGAAGCTGTTCCAAGCAGACAGTCGATCGGCAGGTTTAGTTCGCGACGTTGTTGTTTTACCGCGCTTCGGCTTGGTTGCGTCGTCCCTCAGGAGGACGCGCGACGGGTAGGCTTGTTGATTTCGCGCGTCGGACCGGTAACGTCGGTGTCGTTGAAGTATAAATGTTTCCTCAATTGTTCGGTATTACGCGATAGGCTAGCATTATTAGATCGGCTTCGATGAATTTGCCCGGATTCCGCGAATCACCGCGCGAAACGACTATTTGGAGGACTTCCGAAGTCTCCCCGAAGGCTCCCGTTTAGCTTAAGCGAATTGTGTAAGCGATCTCTCTCGATCCGGGGATCGATTTTTGCCGGATCCCTAACGGCAGACTGTCTACGTAGTGTCATCCTTGATGGTCGAATCATCGGATAGATTTTTTATTGTACGCTAGCTGGGAGAGACAGTGTCTTCTTCATGGTAGGAGTTAGAGTTCATTAGAAATACATGAGTAATATAGATTTTAGGCTTACGCGCGCCGCGGCACGGTGTCATCGCGGTTGGGGCGCTGCTCGAGCTTTCTGTCCGTGAGTCATGCTTCCTCCGGAGGAACTTAGGAGACCAACGGTCGTTCTCTTCGCGCGCGGCAATCGACTTTGTCGGAATCGAACAGCGCACGACGGTGTCAATCGTGCGAATGTTCGTTGTTTAAGTGCACACGATTCGGTATGCGATAAATAAAAAATAAAATAAATATAAATTTTTTCTTTTTCATCGGTTAAATTATCGTGCGGATATAAGTTATTTGTTCGTTCGAGCTATTAAAACGACTGCAATTGACGATTATCGAATCAACGATTGAAGCATGGTGCACTTGGATAAGGAACAGTCGCGCGATGCGAACGATGCGACAGCAATTCTAGCCGATCACAAATCATGCTCGTCGGAGAATGTTTTGTAGCAATTTTGATGAGGGTGTGACGAGGAGTGAGCTTCCAGTTTTCAAGTTCAGAGCGATTGAAATCGCAAGGAAATCGTTTTTCAGATGGTTTAGTTATTTGGATTATTATTATATATTATATATATAATAATATACTATATATTATTATATTATTATATTATATATATATTACAGTTATTTGTGATTTATGGAAATTGAATCGAGTTGAAGATAATAAAAGATTCGCGTCTGAATCCGCCATCTTTAAAATGTCGGAATAGTCGTTAAAATGCTTGACAGCAAAACGAAACTACTTTATGTATAAAATCCTTGAAATACAATGTAATTCGCAGATAACGATTCACTGTTTACGATTAGCCGAAATAGTAACTATAAAAGCGGTAGAAATTATTGTGCCATGCTCTTCAAGAAGCTTTAATATACGTATTACTAGTTTCAAAAATTCCTACAGATAAATGGTGTTACATTTGAAAATTTGTAAAGATTTCCGAATTTAAACGAAAAATCGCGTTGCAGAAAATGGTCAGAAATTTTGAGATTCTATCAGCTGGAACCACTTTCTTGTCCACATAGCCCACAATGCAACAGCGCTGTTCAATTCTTGACGAAGATGGCCGACGTCGACGAAACGTTGAAATTGTTCCTCCGCGTATAAAGGTGCGTGTCCATTCGAGGGCATCTTCGACGAACGAAGTCAGACCACGACGACGAGTGTACTTTGATTATTGTTTACAATATTTTCTGGGAGAAGAAAAAGCAATCTAGAATGCCAAGTTGTCAGATAATTTTGTACGAATATATGAGCCATTTATTTTAAAAGTGGCATAAGTCACTTTGTTTGTTAAGTCGATATATTTAAGGGTTTGCGTTTTAACACGTTTAAAAATATTAGATATTATTATAAATATTCGAGAAGATTTACTTGTACTTGTTATCTCAGGATACTGATATTTTTCTCAGTATAAATAATTTCGTATAAACATTACAAAATCACCGCTTTTCATTACGCTAAATTGACTTATGGCACTTTCAAAATAAACGGCTCATATGTGACAGAAGTTCAGCGTACAATTGAAACAGTTGGATATCAATAATTGTGCAAAAAAATATCTATAATTATATCCAACATTTGACAGCGTTCATACGAAGCAACTGAACGATACGTTCGATTCTTTGGTCATTTTTTTTTAGCTGTCGAAAAATCATTAGATCGCCTATGAGCTTGAGAGCAAGCTGAAAAATGTCGCTTTCAAATCATTATTCACTCGTACGAGATATAACCTCGAAACGGCGACAGTTTCACTTTCGAATGTGCACGCACCTTAAGGACAGGATCGACGAATCATCGAACGAACACGACCGGGGTGACAACTGTTCGGAATAATCGTATAACCGCGTCACTTCGAGCAATGATTTGATTTTGTGTTCGTCCTTATCCTTCGAGCGATTCGACATTCTCCTTGTCAGAATTCGCGGCAACGAGAAAATCTGTAAATATTGTCTGAATAGCGTTCTAGAATTCTATCGCGTTTCAAGTATTTTTCCGAGTAACTTCCAACTATCTTAGACTCTAGGAGCCCAGACTTCGCGGAAGCCGTCCAAAAGTTCGAGAAAACGAAACTTTAGGATCGCGAAGAAATACAATATATATATATTAATATATATTGTCTGCTCGTTGGCGTAAGCTGGATATGTGTTTCGACCGGCGAAATTTCTTTTCGTTTCTTTTTACCGTTCGGCTTTGTTCTTCGCGATTACGAAGCACAACACACGGTTTGTCGCGCGGCAAGTCGCAGAACTGACGAGATTCTAGGCCCGCGGTTCTATTTATAGCAATTTCTCCCGTATCGCGATCGTTCGCGATCGACAGTTCCGTGCGAACGTAAGAAGAAGAAACGTTTGAAAAAAAAATTACATCCTAATGAATTCCAAGTGCTTCCGATTGTTTCGAACTCGATCTTCCAATGTTTTTCAACGTGCTCCGAGCATCTCGTGCGCGGTGTTGACACACTGTCGGCTGTACACCGTGACTCGGCCGGCGCTCGGGTCACGTGACACAAAATAAACAGCGGCAAGCGGGAGACCGAGCGACTCCTCTGGTCTTCTCGCGTTTACTGCTGCTCGCCTGATCACGTGACTCGGACGCCGATGACGTCACGATCCAGCCGCCGGTATGCCAACACTTGGCTCGCGTGTCCACGGTGCTACTCGTGTAGCGTTATCGATATCTCTTCCATTGATATGATTTAATTGCAGAGCAAAAGAGAGTGAGAGAGAGAGAGAGAGAGAAATAGAATCTTGTCACGGGTGCGATCGGGCGATGGACTGATTCGTAGAAAAAGCAACTGTTCTGCATGTACAAGAAGAAAAAAAAAAGAAGGTATGCTAGTGATCATGTGTTCCGTAGCGAAGAAGCATTTTTTGATTTCAAGGAAACGAAAACGAAACAAAACGGAGAAATTGATTGGAAGCGCGTGTGCGTGAGTGGGAGAAGCTGCGAAAGAGGAAGCGTATGTGTGCGTGCGTGTGCGTGAGAAAAAAAAGAGAAAAAGAGAGAGAGAGGGGGGGAAAGAGAGAGAGGAGGAAGAGACAGAGAAAAAAAATATACATATATATATCTACGTTCACACTGCTAAAGAAAAGAGAGATATGTATAAACAAAATATATACACACCGAAAGACATATACATAAAATAAACACGACTTTTTCATTAAGAAGGCATTTTACAATTTGTATATATGAACTATAGATATTACACGTACGAGTCTAGGTGTACGAATTAAGGTGTTTCGATCTTACGATGTGTATAAATACCATACTTGCGAGACAACATTATATATTATATTATTATTATTATTATTATTATTATTATTATTATTATTGTTATTATTATTATCATTATCATTATTAATTATTATTATTATTATTGCGAGTGCGCGAGTACACGAGAGGATCCCCCGTTCTCGATTTTCCACTTACTACCGTTTAATTAATGATCCAGATCGATTGAGGGACCGTGTGGCCGTAAACTACATTTAGGAGACACTTAGCTACGAGATAGATCTCGCCACGCCCGGACGCTCGGTCAGGAAAAATGGAAAAAAAGTTTATTAATATAAATGATTAAGAAAGGAAAAAAAAATGAAAACCACACAAATATATACATATAACAATTAAAATATCTTAACGAAAGCGAAATGAAATCCAGAGGGGAAAGCCGTAGAAATCACGCGAGAATTCAATTTTATCGCCCCCACCCCACCCCGCCCCTCCCCGATCTTTTTTTGGTTTTACAGTTTACCTACGGAAAGTCAATCCCATCGAGACACAAAGCACCATAATTTCCGTAATAGTGATTACGAGACGCGTCATACTAATAGAGTCGAACACGAGCGGAACAATTCTCTTGCCTTTTATCGACAAGTAGAACGTATTCGAGTATTTTTAAGACACACACACTGGATTGCACATACACGCGTAGCGTAAGTAGTGAAACTTCGTTTTGCTCACTCGGCCTTTCGACTAATTCAACGTGGCCGCCTGGGAAGGAATCGATGCGCCAGGAATCTTTGGAAATTCTTTTCAATTTCATTTTCATGGTTACCCATTGTCGGGTCGCGTCGGGTCGGGTCGCATCGGGTCGCGTCGCGTCGGGTCGCGTCGGGTTGCGTCGGGTTGCGTCGGGTCGGGTCGCGTCGCGTCGCATATCACTCCCGCCGTGTGTTGGCGCGAGTTCTTCACAAACCCTTAAATCGATCGTGACTGTTAAACATTCCGGCACGGGGACGTCACTGAAACGAACTTGTTCGCAACTTGCATATGCTTTCTTGGAGAGAGTAAAGT